ATACAAATCACAGTATACATATATATATATATGTGTCGTTCATCTTTAAACCCGTGATTTTCTATTGCCATGTCTTTTTTGCCAGGGCCTCTCTAAGGTTTGCCCAGACTGTGCCCATGTTCATTCAAGGGCTGGAATTGGTTTTGGGATCATGCTACTATTGCCAGGTCTGCAGGAGTAAATATTGTACCAATGATTGGCCCCTACCATGAACTGTGGGCCCATAACTGCAATGTCCAAGAACCCCCCAGGCAAACATTCAAAAAAAGAACAGTATGGCCCAGTATGGCCAACTTTTATGATCCAAGAAGAGGAGAACTCCCGGATGGGATCGGTTCGGATAGCAACTTCGCAAGCCCACAGAACAACAAAGTCCCAGCCGCGACCATCTTCGAAGCACTGCATCGCTTCCGCGGGCACCCCAGCGGCGCAGTGGCGCGACGGGGGCGGCAGAGTCCATGAAGGCGGACGAACCAAAGGTATCAAGGTATCGCAAATTGCACTATTATAAATATATTTTTTTTTAATATATCTATATCTATATCGATATCTATCCAAATAAATTTATCCATTATATGTAAAGTAGTTTTGGGGGTTCGGAAAAATCAAGTGTTGTGGTTCTGAAATGGTAGGTGACTGGACTTTAATGATCTTTTTGCTGACATGTTTTTCCGGACCCTTGGCCACATCTAGAGTGATTCACACCAATTATGCTACTTGACAAATGGTTAAAGATTTCTGACAGTGATGTGAAATGGCTACCCTTTGGTATTTTAATAACATATATATAATAGCTATTTAACATCACCATGTTTTACGTTTGTGTTTCAATACGTATATCACTATATATGGGCCATTTTCAAGGAAAGGACGCGGGTTCCTGTCTCGGGATGCAACATGATTCTGAATGGTTAGCGCAATTTTTGTGCTCACTGTTCACCAAAGGATGCCATCTTCAAACCTTTGATTGCCGTAAAGGGTCAGCATATTTGGTTGTTTCTCTCTGCGCATCAGCCCATGGGGGGATTCCACTTCCCCAATTCAAGGGATGGATTTTCAAGAATGAAACCACAGAGAACTTATGAGTTCAAGAAAAGTTTGTGGTGGGTTCCAAGGTGTGCTGTTGAGCCAAAAGTGGCCAAAGCCGCAAATCATACATTTTGATCATTTTGTAATGCGCTTCGGCGATGATCTGAACAGGGGAACCATAGGGGCATACTTCACAAAAAGTGTTAAGTGATTCAACGCACATGGTTCACCTAATTCAAATAAAGCCGTTTGGTCAACGCACACTTTTCAGCAGCTTATATAAAGATCCAATGTTCTATTTTGTTTTGTTGTTTGCAGCTGTATCTTTGAGGTTGAAACTCGAAAATTGCTCCTTCTTGCGGGTTGAACCTCCAATACTTTCAAACACCTTCTGGTAGTCAAACAATGTCAAACATGGCAAAGTGGACAAGTCCGTATTCAGTTTAATTAACAGGTTGGTGGTTTCAACCCCTCTGAAAATATTAATCAGTTGGGATGATTATTCCCAATATATGGAAAAATAAAAATTCATGTTCCAAACCACCAATCAGTTAATGATGTTTCCATATGTTTCCATTGGTCACTGTCACTTTATCGGATGTCCCGTGGCTAAAACATTCGAAGCCCTCCCCAAGACACCGCCATTGGTCCAATGTCAAGGCTCCACTTTGGTCATCTCCTGGCAGGACAAGTGCAGCACACCACGAACTCCGCGGTTATTTGTTGGGAATGTCATGATAATATGATAGGAACATCATTATGGGAAAGTATAGGAACATATGGGAAAATATATGGGAAAATATATGGAAACATATAAGCTACGGGTAAGTAGGGGCAATGATCAAGTACTACAAACTGCGAGGTGTATCAGCTGCACGAGTTTCGAATAGGTTTTCATTTTCCACAATCTCTTGTGCCTTGCAGGCATCTACATGCATAAGCAGCGAGAATTTCCTTTCAAGCGAGTTGCCAGTTCGGCTTCCAATGTGATCTCGAACTACGTTTTTGAGTGGACTCAACATGACAATCCAGAGAAGCTTGGAGAAGCACCGACCATAAAGCAACTTTGTTACTGTTACGGGGTCTAAGATGTAAATGAAAGGCACTTAGTTTGATGAGGCCGAATGCCATTCACCATGTTTCGAATAGTTTCTAAAATATTCTAATATCAGCTACAAACAGTGACAGGTCAATATGTTTTGCAAAAATATCCAAAGTTTCGATGTGCATACCCTATGGTAAACTAACATAGCTATGGAAAATCACCATTTTTTATGGGAAAATCCACTATTAATGGCCATTTTCAATAGCTACGTTAAATTACCAGAGGGTACCTTCCAGTACCCTAGCCAGGAGAATCACCCATTGATTTCATCGCCTTTTCGCGGCGCGCAGCGCACGGCAATGGGACGAAAGCCCTCAGGGCTGTTGAAGAGAGCCTCCATTGCCCGCACCTACCCCACGCCAGTGCCCAAAAAGGTCATCCCATGGTTGCAAGGTGACGCGGTTAGCGACCAGTAAGGGGCACCACCTTAGATTTCTGAAGTTGGGAAGCCGTATTTAATGGCCAGGACGTACTTCCTGACCATCATGAATCATGACCCATGAGGTTAGCTAATCCAACTTGGGGCCCCTAATGATGGGAAACAAGAACGACTATACATTTAAAACAGTATCCTAAACGTGCATATATATATATATATGTAGAGAGATTATGTATGTGCATATGTCAGCAGAACTGAACTAAATCAACAATCTGCTATATCCAGCCAAACTCAATTGAAGTGACAGCTGACAACTATTTAAATATTTACAACTATCTATAAGATCAAAAACATTATAGATATATATAAATTACTTTACTTCGTGTGATCCCCACCATGACATTTATACATTTTCTTACTGGCAAATCTTCTGGCATTCTATCTGACATATCTTCTGACATTCTATTTGGCATTCTATCTGGCATATCTTCTGGCATATGATCTGGCATATCTTCTATCTTCTGGCATTCTATCTGGCAAATCTTCTGGCATTCTATCTGGCATATCTTCTGGCATTCTATCTGACATATCTTCTGGCATTCATATCTGGCTATCTCATATCTTCTGGACATATCTTCTGGCATTCTATCTGACATATCTTCTGACATATGGCATCTATCTGGCATATCTTCTGGCATTCTATCTGGCAAATCTTCTGGCATTCTATCTGGCATATCTTCTGGCATTCTATCTCATATCTTCTGGCATATCTTCTGGCATATATATTCTGGGCATTCTATCTGGCATATCTTCTGGCATATCTTCTGGCATATCTATCTGGCATTCTATTTGGCATTCTATCTGGCATATCTTCTGCATTCTTTCTGACATTCTTTCTAACTTTCTTCTGCACATTCTTTGTCCCATATCCTACATGAGGTCCGGCAGGGAACACTTGGCGTGGATGGTCGTGGTTGAGGTCCGGCAGGGAACACTGGGCGTGGATGGTCGTGGTTGAGGTCCGGCAGGGAACACTGGGCGTGGATGGTCGTGGTTGAGGTCCGGCAGGGAACACTGGGCGTGGATGGTCGTGGTTGAGGTCCGGCAGAGAACACTGTGGATCGCGGGTCGCAGTTGAGCCAGGACGACGAGGACGACGAGGACGACAAGGAGGACGAGGAGGAGGAGGAGAGGAGGACGAGGCAGGAGGAGGCGGAGGAGGAGGAGCAGGAGGAGGAGGAGGCAACTGACATAAAATCTAACAACCCTCACCTGGCAGGTGGGGAATAACAAACATGATCTACACATATCCCCCATACGTTTGACTCAGGGCTTCCCTCGTCGTCGCCTGCGGATGGTCCTCGAAATGTCGCAGCTCTTTCCAGGTCGACGGGAAGCCGAAGCTCTGAACCAAGGCGTTGCTCAGGATGAAGGGCCTGCAGCTATGGTTCCCGATGGTCCTCAAATTCAAAGAAACAACATGAAACAACAATGCAGCACTTGGTGAACTGCGCCACTATGTTTCCGAATCTTTCTGACAGTGTAACATACTTGACTGTTAGATGCATGCTGTCTTTCTCCATTTTTTTTTGGTCCGTTACTTGACTTAGTATATATGTATATATACCCTCTGGTAAACTAACATAACTATGGAAAACCACCATTTGTTGATGGGTAAATCCACTACAAATGGCCATTTTCAATAGCTATGTTGGTTTGCCAGAGGGTACATATTCTGACTATCCATGGGATGCCCCATAGCACATGGCCTCCGGGCCCGCGCGAAATCAACAAACATGTCCTCGGCTGCTTTTTGTGGACCAAGTGGATGGATCATTTCTTTGGTTTGACCTACTTGGAATATCTTGGAATATGGTGAAGGATACTTAGATGGGCCATGGAGTTAGTTAACTAGTATATGTAGTTAGTAAATGGATTACAATTGGGATATAGCGGGTAACAAATCATAACAAATCCCCATTAACTAACCAGGAATCGCGTTTTTCCCATGGCCCGTCTAAGTAAAATCTGGATCATCTGGATCCAAAGTGAAGGATAAGTGACCCTCAGTGCTCAGTGACGTCGCACAGTTCAGTCCTTTGAATTTCTCCAAAGACCCTGAAAAAATACAGTTATTCCCATTGTTTTCCCATCATATGCCCAATTATAACTATGCCCGTTGTATTTAAAAATATACAGTATGTAAAATTGAATGTTGTTTTGGTACGTGGCATCTCCAGATACTGATTTCAAACTCTTCATCACTCCCATCCCCCGACACAAAATAGCCCAACGAAAGGAACCCATAAACCTAGAACATATTATAGCAACTTCCCTAAAAAAGGACCGGGTAACAATTTCCAACTAGTTAATTAATAGGATTTCATTGTTCAATATGTTCAATGTCCGCTCCTTTTTTGGGGGGTGGGTTCCAATATCCGAAACAAATTCACAGAGGGCTCCTTGAAACAACGCAGCATCCAAGCGTCAAGGTCGAGCTGCGTCCACCGTGGTAGGGGCTGCCAACCTGGCGTTAGGCCAAGAAAATTCTAAAGGCACGGCCACTTCTTCCGGGGTCGGCGGCAGGGGCGGCAGCCCTTAAATCTATATGCCTATGTCAAAGAAGCAAAATGTTTCAAAACAAACTGGTTTGTACTTGGGGTTGTGACTTGTTATATCCTTGTGTAATTATTCATTGGAATACTGAATATATGCATATATATATATATATGTCATTATATATGTCTTCAAAATGGTCGTTGGAGTCGTTGGGGGTATTAATGGGCATAATTATCCTAATAACCCCAATATGTTGGGATCTAACCTCCACATGGTCTGTAGATTAGCCTATCCCGAATCCTCTTCAAAAAAACTGGTTTGCATATTCGTTTCTCCACTTAGACTTAGATAGAGATAGTTAAAGCCAACAAAATTACCCTGTGGTAAACTAACATAGCTATTGAAAATGGCCATTTATAGTGAGTTTTCCCATTAAACATGGTTATTTAAGCTACTCAGCAAGGTTTTCGCATGCTTACGCACAACGCGAGTGCTTCACCAGAGTTGACAGGCTTCAACACCAAGGCCTCAACCAAACCATCCTGAACCAACCTTGGCAGAAAGAAAGGGTATAATCCCTTCTCCCATTGAGATGAAATACCACACCAGCTAATGTGATACTGGTTATGTATGGTTATGTAACATGATCCAACCTGAACAGAAAACGTCTACGAAAGTTACGAAAGCCCAGTAGTGCAGTGATCATCAGTGATCACCATCACCATCCCTATTTGAGATACTTTTGTTTACACAGAAAACATGTCTGAAACAACATGGTGAAACACACAGCCATTGGTTCCGGTACCCGCAACCCCACCTATTGGGCACTCGCTGCACCCATTCGGGCAGGACAACCGGGCCCTTTTCGACATGGCAGATCGCAATGGAGATCTATATAAATGGTGATTTATAGTGGTTTTTCCCATTAAAAATTGTGTTTTTCCCATTAAAAATGGTGATTTTCCCATTAACAATTGTGATATTCCCATTAAAAATTGTGATTTTCCCATTAAACATGGTGATTTTCCCATTAAAAATTGTGATTTTCCCTTGAACATGGTGATTTATGGTCTATGGTGGATTTAACCATGAAAAATGGTGATGTTCAATAGTTTTTTTATGTTAGTTTACCAGAGGGTAAAGATTCTGACGATGCAAAGTTACGCCTCACAAGTAGATAAGTAAACAGCAGGACAACTTAAGAGGGACCATTCAGAAGTTTCGATGTTCTTACCCCAAAATTGCATCCGAATGTCAGTTCTCCGTTTGGTTTTGCCCTGATCATATTCTGGGTTGTGTCGCTTGGTCAACGGTCAACGTAACATCATGGGCATCTTTTGATCAACATTTAATGGCATTTCTTAAAGTTCACAAAGTGGTCTTACGCATAGCCGTTTGCAAAAAACATGCAGCAACATTCTCCCATACCATTTGCAGTGGCTGAAGCCCACCTGGAACTCCCTAGGGTTAATTGGCTGATAAGGAAAGATAAGGGGTATTAATATCATCCACAAGTCATGATTTCCATCCATAGTATCAGCCCCCGAAAACAACGATCTACTTGGGGGTGGAGTTCCAGTGAACTAAATGGATATGTTTCACAGTAGTTACAGGGGTTATATGAACACGAGATGTCCCAACTTATGGACATGATTACCATAGAACCATGTACAGCCATAAAACTAACCCCAACTGCAACCCCAAGTATGGATTTCGTGTTTATAGCACCACTTTAAGTCTATACGCCACATTTCCTTATTGATTTTTGCTGTAAAGCTACCAAACAAACGACGACCTAAAGGGGCCGTTGGATCGACGTGCATCACCTGACTCCGACTGTAAGCAACTTACACTGGCAACAGCATCTGGTAGCCTGTGCCAGTTTGCAAATGCAATGTCCCATGGCCCATGTCTGAAATATTTACCAACATTTACCCCCTAAAAAATGACCAAGTTATGAGATAAACATTCCATACATGGAGCATGTGGATATCATAATCTAAACAGTGTAGCGTCTAAAGCTTCGACAGTCGAGGCTATTGAGGGAACCACAGGATGGAAAGCTAAGTTGTTTCGGCATACCCTGAGTGACTCATGACTTCAACATGGCCATTTCTTGGCTTTCATCTTGTAAACATGCCTGCATCTGAAAAAAAAACAGGTACCCTCTGGTAACATGAGCAATGACCCATGATGTACCTATTCCCGAAAAAAAAATCAATAGCACAAAGAATACAGTAGAGAAACAAACCAGGGAGCCAAGGCCGAGCCCTGACATTGCCGCAACTAGCGTCCCTTCATCAAACCTGTAATTTTACCTGGCTTGCTGGAAATTCATCCAGCTGCCAAGGATTGTCCCGTATTTTCCTATAGACTTAAGGGAAATTTCCAACCAACCATGTGAAACTAACAGCTCATTTCAAGACTCGGGTGTTCAAGTTCATGGCTGAGACTGGCTTAGCATAGCTTAGCTATTAAAAGGACCTCTCTAAGCCCAACTTTACCAAAAAGCACCCAAATCACCACGAAACTGCGAACATCCAAACTCATCCTCTTCGATATCACACCTAAAAAAACATCGTGTAAACAATGTGTCGATCTGTTTCCAAGATCCCTTCCACAAATTGTGATTCCATCTTAGATTTCAGTGGAATCACCTCCATTCACAGCAGTACAACAGCTCTTCCAACCCCTCTGGAGGAGGGCAAAACCACCTCAGAGATGAGTGTGTCAACCTGGCACTGGCATGGCAGCACTTGGGGATGGAATTATGGTTGAAGAAACATGGGATATCCACCGTGTTGGGGTATAACTCCTGCATCCCCTAGAATTCTGGCGAGCAAAACACATTTATTAAATCATATTAAATCTCATCAGGAACTGCAGACCCTAGGATGTGTACATAGCCACTTCTTTTAGCATGAAAAAACCGCATTTCAAATCTCGGATACTCTTGACTCATGACATCTTTGGACAATTTTCGGGCTACTCTCAGGATGGAGGCACTCATTATAATGCCAATATGGACCTCCATGTTTCCATCTAACGGCGAAAATACAAGCTGCAAAGGAAAATGTTGCATGATGACACTTTCATGATGGAACTGTATCTTCTCCTCTAGTCACAACTATCGTATCACATGGTTGGGAACCTCTTTAGTAGCTCCTTCCCATTGGGCAACAACCATGAGGGGAGTCGCTGCCTGACCCGTATCGACCTTCAGCTGTGCCACTTGCGCTTGGGGCGCCTGTCGCAGGTTCGTTTGTAGAGTTGGTCACTCCAAAAGCTACAGTTTATGGCAATTTAAACCATACAGTCAATGGGGTGATAAAGTGATAAACTTGTAATTCTACACCAACTTTGACTTATATTGGTGATCATGGGATCATCGTGGGTCATCATCTATGAAAAGTATGGGACCGTGTGAAAATCCACTCACAATTTGAAGTGATCTATGATGGGACTATTGACAAATTATGAACATTAAATAGAATAGATAAATCTGAAAAACCTGATGTAGAAACTTAGTAGAAACATGTGAATATATGTTGCTTATATCAACTCAAAATCCCATCACCTGGAACGCCCTCACCATGGCCTCAAGTCCCAGCACGGCTGTGCCATTTTCATAGCTCAGGCAGCTGATGGGAGCATCCAAGGTCCAACCTCAGTGCCACGGGCATTGGAAAAACGGATGGCCAACCTTTGCCACTTGATGGGGAAATGTCAATGGGGAACACATCACCGTTACATGTATGATATATGTTTTTAAATATATGTTTCTATGATCGAAAATTATGAAAAACAAAAACTAAAACTACCTATACTAGCTGTTGATCAGCGGTACAACCTCCCTTTGAATATATGCAGAAAGTTGGAGCATCATCACACGACTTACAAAGTGGTACAAATATTTACATTTGTATACTAAGTCCCCTAAGTGCGGCGATGGTCACGCTCAAACGGGGGTAGCTTCTCATTTTTGGCAGACTCCACGGGTTCCCTTTCAAGCCTCCCAACAAAATCCTGAAATGTGGCAATAACCAAACCCTGATTTTTGTACTGCACTTGTTTTCTCAAAATAGATTTCTGCGAGTTTTTCATCACAAGGATAAGTCATCCGTTCAGTTATACCTAAAACAGATGTCCACTGCAGCAAAAAGCAAATCCTGAAATGGAGCAATTCTTGACCAGCACCCCAGAATTTCTAACAAAACAAGGTCCAACAGGGGACACGGCTACTCTCTCTCTCTCTCTCTTCATCGCCTTCCCAATGAGTCAATAAGTTCAGCAGAGCTAAAGGCTTACTGTGATATTACTATGTCTTAGATGTATTTCTATCATTTTCTATCTATTTATATGTATTTCCACGTTTTCCTTGCTGAAAGCAGCAGCTTTCCATCAGTTTCAAGTTTCTGGCCAGCAAGTACCATCTGCAATACCGTACCCCAATCTTAAATACCCAACGGAACCAGACTTTTGGTATTGCATCTAGTCATGACCTGGGGGCCGGGTCATATTCATGACTCATCTGGATGGTGGTGCATATAGAGGCCCCATATCCCCCAAGTTATTGGGCTTATCACCATTGCTTACCCTGGGGTAAACAAACATGTATGTGTAAAACCCATGGTTTCCCATGGTTTCGCGTTCGGAAAATGAACTACAAATGGTGCCTTCTCCAGCTTCAGCACATCTATGTTTCAGGTATAGGCAGAAATCTGTGTAACCCCCTGGAGCTCCCAAGTTGGTGGGATTTTTCAGCCTTAGCTCCTCACATTTTTGCTCCTCTCCATCCAGGTTCCAAAGCCGTAGGGTGCCATCTGCAGATGCCTCGGGTCACCGACTAGATATACCTTCTGAAATCCCGAACAGTTATGGAAAATTGCGAGGAAAGTAGGTGGTTTAGCTATTGAGCTACTCAAACTGCTGAGTTTTCCCATAGCAAACTGATAAACAGTTAGATTGCCAAATGAGAGTGTGGAACGTATGCATGCCGTTTGCTCCGTGTATCGTATACTTATACTTACTAACAGAACATGAACGGGTCATTTTGGAGGTCAATGCTAGTATTTACTCCACATATGGAGCATTGGGCCATGTTGTGCTTAGTGGACTACGCATGGGTCGTAGTAGAACGTTGAATATGGGATAAACCCATACCCTCCCACAAATTGACATAGACCCTGCCATTTAAGGGGTTGGAAGCTTAATTTTCACCCAAAATTGTCTATTTTCAGAGTCAAACTGTTACAATGTAAAACCAGTAACAGCTACATAACCAGTAAAAGCTGGACCTATCATTGGAAGGTCACCCATGGTATCCTATGGTAATACCCTCTGGTAAACTAGCATAACTATGGAGCATCACCATATTTTATGGGTAAATCAACTATAAATGGCCATTTTCAATAGCTATGTTAAATTGCCAGAGGGTAATAGACTTTGACCCACAACCATATTGGCATTGTTTCTGATGTTTCTGCATGGCCAACTGATCAATGGATGATAGATGTGAATCCAGAATATGAAGAACTCCGGAGCAGGGTGAAGATCCCAATAATCCCGGCAGTTTTCTGGTTATAAAAATGCTAATGTCAAATTCATTGAACTTGAGCCCATGAATGGCACCAATATGAACCAACCAAAGCTGCTGATCATACCACCATCATACCACCATCATCCCACACCTGCTTACTGCTTAACCACTTCCACCCAGTTAGATGAGTGGGAGAACCCCACTGAATGGGGACTTACTAAGTTACTAGGGTTATTAACCACGTACGCCCTTACACTGAGTCTTACTAAGTGGATCTAAGTGGAATGATCCTCCAAGTGGCTAAGAATCTGCAATAACTGACAATAACCAAATGAAATACCCCAGGCAGATTAGTGGGTTATACCCCCAAGCTATTTTTGGGGTTACCCTCTGGTTATTTGACACTTCGCCATGGAAACTCACAATTTTTAATAGGTAAACCATCTATTTCTATGGGCCATGTTCAATGGCTATGTCAAATAACCAAAGGGTATATACGAAACAGCAGGATCTCCATAGAGCCACCCGCTGGGCCACACTGCTGAAAGCAGCAAGTCCTTCTCGCAAGCCACTGCCTGGGCGATGGGTAGCAACACTATCTATCTATCTAATCTAATCCAATCTAATCTAATCTAATCCAATCCAATCTCATCTAATCTATATAATCCATCTATATATATATAATAATAAATACATACATAAATAAATAAACTAATAAATACCTACCTTTCTGTACAATATATTTATTTATATGAATATACATGTCTTGAATTCCAAACCATTTTTACCCATATCTATGGTGATCTTCATGTGGTTTTGTGTTTTGTCTCTATGGGAGATTGCAATTCAAATTTGCACACAAGGCCAGCAACATGCCCCCAATGCAAGATGGTTGGTGGTTTTAGCCATCTTGAAAAATATTAGTCAATGGGAAGGATTATCCCATATATTATGGAAATAAAAACATGTTTGAAACCACCAACCAGAACAGGTTCTATCAAGCGATGATATCCTTGTAGGAACCATCCAGGCACATTTGTATGCATGGCCAATCTTTGTTGCCCTGCAACATGTTTTTTTCAAAGGTTAGTTGTGGGCCCATGCAAAATTTAAAAAAAGGTGAATACGTATTCAAATACCCTGTTTCGCCTGTTTCACCATTTGCTGAGATATCTATCAAACAATTGTAATTATATCATGATAGATAGATATCTCAAATTGTAATTATATCGTGATAGATAGATTATACTATATCTATCAAACCCTCATATTGTACACTTGTCATGAGGCTTTAACTCTTCATTATTCCAAGATTCACCTTATACTTTTGTCTCAAAAAAACACCCAGAAACCATGGTGTTGGTCCGGGGGGTTACACATACTTGGGACCATTTAATTCAGGGGTGCTTAATATTACCATCTGGTTATGACTAACATAGCCATGGAAAATCACCATTTTATAGCTAGGTAAACCAACTATAAATGGGCCATCTATATCATGGCTATGTTAGTCATAACATGTCATAACCATAGGGTAGGGGATGGAATTACAGCCAGTTAACCCTCTGTGATATCAACCAACAAACCCATCGAAAGCCTCCATGGATCACCCGCACTCCCTGAACCGCGAGGGACAGTGATCTGCATCTGGTGCCCGAAGCAAAAGCTACGGATTTCAGCAGCCTGTGTTGCAGCATCCGTGGAGTTCCATGGATGCTGGAGCATGAAAATCCATGGAGCATCCCACAGGTTATGTCAAAATAGCTAAACTTGCCATAAAAATGATGATGCCCCATGAAAATTAACATTTTCCATAGCCAACTGTTGGTTTTACCGGAGGGTATATGAGATATGTGTCCCTCCAAAATGGCTGTGTCCGAACTTTAACAACAAAAAGAAATGGCGATCTCTAGCGAGAAAACTCTAATAACTAATATATCAATCATGGACTTTGAGGTGGCAAAATCTAATAAAGGAGGTGGCACCCCTTTAAGACCTTGTTGACCTTGGGGACTGAGGCTTTCCCAATTTGAACATCGGTCGGTTGGAACGGGCTGGCTATACCAACCATGATTTCCTGGCAGCCTTTGTAGGCTGCTGTGGAACAAACTTCCATGTCCAGCAGATTGTCAAACATCTGCACATCTGCGCTCGACATATCTAGGCCTGTACCCCCGTCACAAGTACCCACACGTTGCATGTCAGTCTATACTTCCATTTTGTGCACTTACACCTTACAACTTGGGCAACCTTCCCCGGCGATACATCTAAAACTAAAAAGCTGCGCGTATGTACGCATGCACAGATGTCCGCGTAAGCCGCCTGTAAAAGAAATACAAATTGATCGTACGAATATCCTGATTGCCACTAAATTATATTTATGGTTTTCTACATGTGATTGATAATTGTCACCAATAATCATCGTCGATCATTGGTAGTCCGCAAAAAATATCTTGCTGTTGGTGCTGTTGATTGTTTTTTTCCCATTTGTGGCATAAAAACTAATTAAAGGAAATCTAACTTCATATCCAGTCGGTGGATGTAAATTTGATATAATTTCATATTTAATGATATTTGACTCTTCATTTTCAGACTTCGATCACACTCAAACGCTAGCAAACGCACACATGATCTCCAAGCCACCAACATCCACAGCATCCACCAACCTTGCCTCAGGGTAGCAGCTTATTCGCACGCGCTCGTGGTTGTCGCCCACCACCAAGAAGCGTTGACACGGCGAGAGAGCCAAGGCCGTCACCTTGGCAGATCCGAAAAACTTGATGCGGTGCTTCCATATGCAACATAATCCCTTCCCCCTATGACTAAACCCCAGTAATAGGGGGAAGGGATTATGTGGAATATTGTGTATTAGGGGGAGGGGATTAAACCAGTTCAACAAATTGTTCAGTATGATATGTTCAATTCAACTGAAACTGTTATTATGACAATTGTGAATCAACAAATTCAACATAACACAGAAGAAAACATGTGATGAAATTAAAACAAAAAGGATGGCAGCACACAAAAACTCAAACCCGGCAATGGGTAATGGTTTTTCCTTTGTGTGAATATCATGTTATGACCAAAAAATGTCCCATTGCCGATTGCCGGGAAATTGCTTGATAGGTGCCCAATGTTTACCGTTTAACTGAGGAAATGCAGGACACGGATCAGCCAACAAATACTGCCGCATAGAAAAGCAACATGCATTTGTATCCGGTTTTGATGTATTTTTCTTGCTGGTGCTTCTCTTCTGCTATTAGTGTGTTGCTTCTGGGTTACAATGGGCATCCAAAAGAAGAACTTTGTAAAGAATCATGTCCCATCCTTTCATCAACATGCCCACAAATTGAGGCATTTCATGGCATTTCTCATTCTTGATCCATTTTGAACTGCAGCCATTGCGGTACACCTCAACCCATCAGATCTCAGATCCCGACGATGGCGAAATGACTGGAGAGAAGCTCAGGCTCCCCCCCGGACCAGCGGCACACATCTCCGAAACGATCTGCAAAGATGATGCGTCCATCTCCTGACGTTCCGTTCCAGTCCCCATCGACCCAAACTGGGCAGAGGGTTTTTTTGAAGCTGCAAGTGTCGAAGCTAGGCCAGTAGTTGAAGATGTTGAATCGTATTCATATACCTATCAAATTCTACCAATTAAATCATCGAAATAGATGCTTGATGCTTGCCATAAGTTGGCCCTCTTCGTGCGATTTGATGACTCATCAAAAAACATGCTCATGAACAGAAACCATTGAATACTAGCTGGTTCCCAGCTCCTCAGCTCCGAACCTAAAGGGGTTTAACTCCCTGCCCATCAGCGCCACTGCCGCCCAAGCGGCCATCGAAAATGGCGGCTGCGAGTTTCTTCTGGCAACTTAGCTGCTCTTGTTGTTGCCACTGTCCGCCTGCCTAGTGGCCACAAGGTTTCAGGGCCCGAGGGGACCACACCCCAAAATACATTGTGTTTGCCAACTTCTTCCTATTACTATCATGTTTATGTATACGCTTAGTATATATGCCCCAAGTCACTTGCACGTGTCCACGATATATCTAGCCACAATGCCAACGCATTAACAACGTTATTGTCATTGTTGGGGTCTAATCTATTCCAGTCGAATCTAATCCCATCTGCCAGTATCTCTCTCTCTCTCTATATATATATCTACCTGCTTATCTATCAATCAATCTATCTATATCGTATCTATATTGTATCTATCCTGTCTTATCTATCCGTTCTATCTAACCTATGGTCACCGCCCACGTTGAACACCCCTTCCTCTCTCTCTCTCTCTCTCTCTCTCTTTCTCGGCACCTCAGTTTCCAACCAGGTGGTCAACAACTTCTCATCACCTCGGCGAAATACGTGTAACGGCTATGGCGGCAACAAATCAAGTTGTACCAAAAAGATATCAACATTTTTTTAAAATGGGATTTTACCAACAAGAATGAATATGCATGGTGATTATATAATGATTTTAAGTGATTTAATTGGATGTTACATAAAACGAGGTGGAGCCCCGGATCGTTTGCAAAGTTGGCTTGCAACCAGTGCAACTGGGATCTATATACATATATATATATATAAATAGTTTATGGTTTCCTAAAACCAATTCGGGAATTAAACCAGAAAATGCAAAGTCACAATCAAAAACACATCTTATTGGTTAAGCACATCAGCTCGCGCTTGCGAGACTTGATCCCCAGTCCTCCCACCTCGATCAATGGTTGCATCTTTGACTTTCCATCTATTCATGTGTGCTTGCCGAAGTGGCCGAAGTGCATAAAGCAAACTCAGGAAAACTGTGCAGGGAATCATATATATCCAACCTTTGTTAATATCCCAGCATGCGCGTAGAAAAACATAGCACAAGCGACTATATATAACATATCTGATACATTTTTGCTACACATAAAGGCAGAATGCCAAGCAAGCAAACAGGAGCATGACAAGACAGGTTTACTGCCTCAGCCAACCACCTCCAATTTTTTAGGAATAAAATCTGGTAAGCCCCCATTTCTGATGGCAAAACCTCCCTAAGCTCCAGGTTCACCATCCTCCCCAAGTGGCCCCATCTGCCGCACCTGCCGTAAGCCACGTCAGCGTCCCTCTCTCGGCGTCATGTCGTGCATCCAGCGCACGAATGGCGCTGGAGGATCCATCACCTAGTGGTCGGGCGCAGGTCTTCTGCTGGAGGTCGTAGAAGAAGACACAACCTCCATGGATCAATGGATTGGTTTAAGGGAAAAGCTTAACCGGAAACCATAGATTTTCCCATTAAATATAAGGCTTTCCTGTAAATTGTCCCTTAAACCAATCCATTGAATGGAAGATATGGCGCCTAGATGGGGATCCTAGTTATCTTACTGATGCGTTTTACGTAGCGAATGGATGGGTTGCTGGGGGTTGCTGGGATGATTATTACTACTGATTATGGATCATTCCCGAAAATTCCCTGATAAGCACCAGTAAGTTATAGCGCTGTTCAAGTAGTGAGGATCCCCTTTTACTATACATATATATATATATGATTTATGTATATACCCTTTGCTTTAAAACCCTTAAACTTTAAAAAAAACGGGTGTAAAGTAAAACCCTTGGTCCCCCCGTGATCAAACCATAAACCCTGGGTTTGCACGCAAAACCTTGGGTTTTCCATGTTTCCCCCTTATATCCTCTGATTCCCATTGATTCTCGCCCTTCTTCAGGCCAACGTATCCAAATATTCAAAGAACTTGTGGGGTCAAATAGACTTAAATAGACTAGTGTTTGCTATTTTCTTGAATCTGAAGGCAAGGCATTCAACTTCGAAAAGTTTGGGCCTCCAGCAACTCGTGTGCAACCCGTACGTGATTTACCCATGTGCACCCGTAGTTTAAATATATGGGTACGGACCTCCCTCCAGAACTGGCTCAAAAATTATTGATTTTCAACTGGGTTCTGAAACCCTTTTTGAGGGTCTGGAACTGCCCAAGACAGACCAAAATCACACCAGAGATTAGCTGGCAGGGGTTGGTGAACCCTAGATTTTCCAAAGCCCCAGGTTTTTATTGCAAGACCTGGGTTTGAAGGATATATGTAGGTTCGGAGGGTCACCGTATTCTTTTAAAATGATACTTGCGGTACATCACAGTCACACACACACATGCAAATATATAAGCTTGTCAAGAAATATGGGATACCCCAACCAAAGGCAATTTTTGAGAGGGATAAAGATGATTAATCAGTGGAATTTGGTATAACCTCTTTTCACACAAACCTACTTGGATGTCCGAGGCATCATAAAATGTTAATCTCATCCCCCTGTGTGACATCAAATGCCACCCATATGGCTATGGCCCCGTATATAAGTCATGAACAAATCCAGGCCTAAATGATGGCCGGAAGATGGGCATTTAATATCAGGATATATAATGATAAGTACTGGGGATTGGATCAATAATCCGAAGCAAATTGTGATGCACATTTAAGTAGAACCTCAGCTGAGCCATGAAACATCGGTATTCCACTTGCAAAAGAAATGAAGCTCATCAAATGTGTTTGATGAACTTTGGCATAGTCCCAAGACTCTGGTGGCCTTTATCCAGTTTTATTCGCGCATGCAGAGCGAAGGGACATAGATCCAACCATTTTAGACGGCCAGGTAGCTTTAGGCTTCGCTACGCAGTCCGTATTGTGCAGCGGGTCCTAGGATACTGGCAAAAAATGTCTGCACCTAATGGACCTAACGGGCCCCAGAACTGATCCCTTCAAAGTAAGGATTGCAGAAGTCCAGCAGACTCTGTGCCGCCCCCTGGAATTCCGATCTCCACCGGGTCCAACGGCGCCAAGGCACTTCCAACGGCCCAAACCACTGCTGGACGGGTGGGATGTCGCACAATGGGCACCACCGGAAGCGCTAATGGCTTTGACATGCCGATGAACATGTGAAGTGGTGATGAACTGTGGTCCAAAAATTGGGTTCCCCAAAATCCAAGTTTCGAAACCTCATTTTACAAACTACAGGGGTATTGAGTATTTGTTTGAGACAAACAAATGCAATCAATTGGAAATAGTGCCATTTCTGGGCAAAGCTAGGTGGGACCCTGTGACTGACATAGATTTTGCTGTGTGGCGTGCAGCAAATGCTATTTCAGTGGCCATTTGATTATGACCTTTGTCCATCTTGTACGCCCTCAGTTTGCTTGGTTTCTAAGCTCTCCAAGCTACATAATTCTTTGCTTCTATTTTTTTTCTTGCTAGTGAGCCAGTGGCCTGCATGGACTGACTAATCCCTTCCTAATTTTTCCTAAGCACGAAAAGATCAATGAAAATCACTAATCGGGGTGAACCCCCTGAGGTGTTTGTTCTTAAGGCGCATGCCGCATGACTTCCAATTCTGGGCCTACTGGGCCCCTTAAGTATCCCGAAAGATCCCCGGAAGAGCCTGGGAAGTGGAAATCGTAACACCATGATTTTCTCATGTTCCAATGCACCGGTAATCTTTTTGTTTAACCGGTTGGTGGTATACCTACCCCTCTGAAACATATTAGTCAGTTGGGATTATTATTCCCAGTATATGGAAAAATAAAACATGTTCCAAACCACCAACCAGTTAAGGCTAGCAGGTACTGCCGAAACACCAGACATCAATCGGCCAAACAAGTTGTCTCTTAGCGATTCTTAGCGCAGCATTTCTCCGCGTTTGTTGCCCCTTTTCACCGGCGAAAAAGGTCATGACCAGGTCAGTACTTGCGGCTGTAAACCAGGAGATACTCCGGAAAGGTTTGGTCCTCTTTCAACACCAGTGCTGGGATGACACCAGACCCGACCCTTCCACCAAAAGCTTTGAGGTGCTGGATGGACTAACTTCATGTCTTTACTGAACCCATCACTTCACTCCTATCACTACTATCTTTCAAGGAGCAGAAACTGACTTTGATTGCAATCAAGAATGCAGAATAAGCAATATCTGCCTCGTGGGGTTCGAAAAAGTTCCCTTCCCTTTAGCCTGCCATTCTTGAACCCTAAAAATAGCATCCGCGGCGCACACGCTCCACACAAAAAGGTAATGAGCAAAGTGTCACACCAGATTTTCGATCTAGCTCAAGCTCTAGACTCTATGTAGTCAAAGCATAATGTGGTCACACATCCCATGTTTTGATGGTGCTCACGTTTTTCCGCGTTTTCACACGCTTTTCCCATTGTTTTCACACCTCAAAACTGACTAACTGCACAGCAATGATCTAGAAAAAAAAATGCTTCAGATATTGTAATTTGCAACTGAAACTATAGCAGAATCGTTTCTCTCATATTGGGTTCCCATCATTTCCCACCCACGCTTCATATCAATTCGGCTACCGAAATCGCATTTCGACTGAGCCACTAGTGTTGGTTCACTCTCTTGACCTGAAACAGTTTCTGCCTCTGCTATGTAGATAGGACTGCTTTCTGAAATCCAAAGACGAGGTTTATATAATATATATATATATACACATAACTGTGCGGTTCATTGAACGTTGTGGAGGAAGGTGAGGGATATGGTATGCTATGTTGTCAGACCTTTGTGTAACGGCAAAACTTGCCAATCCAGCCCCCAGCCGCTCCCAGCAAAACCCTCCTTGTCGTAGACAACCACTTCCTTGTACCTGCGTGGACACAACTCGGCACAACTCGGCCCCGCAGATGGGACACGATGGGATCGTCCGGGGCACGGCTTGCCAAGAGTGCTGACCCGGTCACCAAAGACCTGGATGGCTGACGCTGCCTAAGATGTTGGTGCCCAATCCTCATATGGCTAAGTTGGTGCCCATTACGCCCATCAACATCCATGAACATATAGATAATATCGATGATAAAACCATGCAGCTATGGTAGATATGGAAACCGTGACTAAATATGATTTATGTTATATATATATATGTGTATAATATATGCATATGATACACAAGATATATATATATATATATATACATATGGCGGATATAATATCAAATCATTTCTAAAGAATGAATGGTGAGAGAGAGAGAGAGATATATATATAATGTTTATAAACCAACCTATACTAACTGGGAGGCAGAATAGATTCCTTGACAATTTGGCAAAGCAACACACATTTCTGGTTGTTTGGGATTTCCGTTGGGTGTGAACTGGACTATGGGAAAACATATGTCTGCTTATTGGCATGCAACACGCATAGAGGTGCATAAAAACCTGCGTAAGCCATCATCAAAATGCACAGTAACTGCATTTTTTGAAAGTTAGGGACAGCCTCTAATCAGCAACGCTGCAGAATTTCAAGACCTCCTGTGCCCCCGTTATCACATTTCTTGTTGTCAATCTGGGTTGGTCGTTTCCGTGATTTCTGAGCCCGTCAAGTTCCTGACAGAATGGAAAGGTCCGTCAAAGACATCTGTCCTGGCAACGCAAACCTTTGGGATTGGATCAGGTCAGCGAAGAAACCAACAACTTGGAGGTAAGCAGCACGTATACCCTCTGGTAAAATAACATAACTATGGAAAATCACCATGCTATTAATGGGTAAATCAACTATTTCAATGGCCTTGCTATCAATAGCTTTTTGTATGTTTACCAGAGGGTATGTGGAAACAGGTTTCCCTAGTAGAACTAGTAGGCTATCAAGAAAAATTGGGGTTTCCGCAGCTTGGGTCCATGAAACATCTCATAGCGCGGACCATGTTTTTTCCCCATGAAACATGACTTTTGTTAGGCACATATGCCATTTGGGGGTTCATGCTGGTGGGCATGCGAACTCCAAAAAAAGTGGAGTTGCACACCATGAATTCCCTTAAAATCATAACTATCAAGCTAGCCACCAAACCAAGGTGTACCCAGCGTCTTGGACATACAGGCGTATCTGAAAATCGGATATACATCCGACATATATATATATATATATATAGAAAATTGTGATCCATGGGTAAATTGTCCAGCACCGGAAAACAAACACAGCTTTTGATTTTTTTTTTCGGATGACAAAGACATACCTCACTGCACCACAAATCGTGATGTCCCACCGGTGGTCACACTCCTCAACTTATCAGGTTTGATCTCGTCAGTATCCACCAGATTACAGCGTCCACCGATGACACGGCACCTGGAGTCCATGGCTGGGAAATCCCAGAACTCAATATATAAGCGAATGGGTAATGAAATTTGAAATCTGCCATGCAATTTTCGAGTAACCACTGAGTGTCTCACTGCCCTTTTGCGAAAAACATGGAAAACTATAGGGATGTAGCAGCAGCTTGCTATGCCTGCTATGCTATACCACAATCCCTTACATTCATGATTGTGACAAGTTGGGACCTAGTGTGAGCTGCTCTGCAGCAAAACTGCCCGGGCTCTAACATCGCTCCTTTATGTGGCGTTTGGGAGTTGGACACGCAGACGCTTGCAGTAGAAACACGCATATATTGTCAATATATATATATATACACATACTTATATATATATATATACGCATACTTATATATATATATATATATTGTGATTGGTTCACAACCAGTAGCCCAAGTGCTAAGGATCCACACCCAATTGCAAATGGAAGGCGGCCACACCTTTTCACCACTCAGCTTCTGCTCAAGTTCGAATCCAAGCTCCCAAGCTGCAAGCGAAATGCCGGCCACGGCAATGACTATGGCTCAAGAGGTTTTACACCTCCCACAATCCACCCTTTGCTGTCCCCAGCAATCACGTCTGCGGAAAAATGAACATGGGTTCACATGAGTGCATCAGGTTGCAATTGATTGGACATCAAGGGAGAAAAGTATTGGAAATTCACACTCCCAAAACATAAAAATTTTCAGGTGTTTTTGTTCTTCGCTTCTTGTTGGAGCCATTGCATTCTGTTGCGTGAGGTTGCACGATCCTTTAGAGTCTGGTTCTCATCATGTAAACGGTAATGGCCCACTGACAGCACATGTCTGAGGAAAGCACATTCCATTATCTTGGTCAAGGCATCTGCTACTTGGGCACCACTGTGGACCCATCTTAACGTCACATTCTCACTCAAGAGATCCTTTATGGCTCTTGCTTGCAACTGAGTACGAAACTCTTGGCAACTAGGTGGAGCAGTTCTGGTTACCAGGTCATAGAGTGATTTGCAGTCTGTTACCGCAATTGAGTTGACATCCTCCTTCATGGTTGGTGCTGTGTATGTTGGTGGCAACTCTTTCAGGGTTTGTTTGGACTGCTTCCAGTTCAGCCATGGATTTTGAAACCAACCCCAGTACAAACGTAGCCATGACAATTGGTCAAGAGTGGAATTCAATGACATCGTCTCGGCTGACAATGTGCTTACCACTACCTTTTGAATCTTCTTGCATCCCCAGCTGATGGGATTCACTGGGCATTGATGATTTTTGGCGATATCTGCATGTGTGGTCATAATGATCATTCCCGTGTGTGAGTCTGGTTGTTTCTTTGAAGAAAAGGATGCGTCTGAAAAAGCCAGGAACCTGATTTTCTGAAAGTCAATTGGTTGAATTTTGACTGTTACATCTTTGTGTTTCTTGGCGTTGTGGAGTACTTTGTTAGCTTCAATGAATGTGGATATTGTTGCAGTGTTGATTGCACTTTGGAGGTTGCTCAACCGACTTGCCAAATCAGGTCTCGTGTTCACTGAGGCGTACTGCAGGGATCCTATCAGGGCTCGAAGACCAAGTCTCTCGTCTTCGTCTATCTTGGACTCCAACATTTCCTTCCGGTCAGGTTTAATGTGAATTGGTTCAATCTTGGTGATGTACTTTTCTTGTGATAGGATTATCGTCTTGTTGGGGAGTTGGCACATTTCGATTCCGGTGAAAGTGAAACTTTGGGACTTTTTGGCTCCAAAAGGAAAAATGGTCTCAAGTTTACTGAGTTGTTCATCAAAGAATGAGTCTCCTCCACATAGTCCATCATCGACGTGCATACCAATTACCCCTGATGGTCGGTCAGAACCTTCCTTGTATAAGAGGTAAACACAAGGGTCAAATGGAGATGGTATGAATGAGAGCTGTCGGAGGACTCGGTCTAACTCCTTGAACCACAAATATGGTGCGTCTATTAGACCATATGCAGATTTTTCCAACCGGCACACTTCTCGTTCCTTCAGATTCATTGCTTTAATCAACTCTGGTACAGGTTCTATTGCTATCGTTCGGTTTTCTTGGGTTCTACCTTGCAAGAACGCAGCTTTAATGTCAAAGGATTTAAGGGTCCATTCAAGTGAGGCAATCAGTTGAAGAATCAACATTCTGGACTGTCGATTCAGTGTTGGACTATCTCTTGGAATGGTCTCTAGTTCTGGGTCCATGTATCCTAGAACAACAAGTCGAGACTTGGCCTTTCGGCTCTTTCCATGTTTTTGTTGCTCCTTTGGATCTTCTATTGGTTTCCAGACATGAATCCAGCGACATCGTAAAATCTGTTCTGGTGACAGTTGATCACGCAAAACTTTGCTGACGGTACCTGTTTGAAGCCAATTGTTGACTTCACTCTGCTTGGCCTTCTCGAACTCTTCCTTTTCCTCTGGTGATAAGGTGCTTAGCTTCACTTCAGTTCTTTGTTTCTTCTGGTTGGTAGCAACAAAGATTAGTTCTTCTATGGGCATGTAGCTATCACTGGAAATCACCTCAGGAACATCGAGTTCCATGCGCCAGGCATAGTCAGTACCGTTCGGTACAGGCATTTCGGCTGTGACATCGTGGCATGTCAATAGGTCACAGAACAGCTCATCATCATCGTCATCTGGGACTGGTGTTTCAATGGCACTGTTGGGGTTGGTGGTTTCTGTTGGTGGTTGTTGAGCTTCGAGGTCTGGTTCTTGATCAGGCTGATCACTTGAATGGCTGTTGGATGATGAATTCTGATTCCTCCCTTCTGGCCTGGCCTCTTCTGGGTTCGGCTGCATAGCTTCAGGGATGGGTCTTTGTGGGTTATGCCCATTGGTATTCGGAGAGTTATTACTGGTGTTTGTTTCATTTGGTACATTGGGATTCAGGGTGTCATTGAGGTTATCTGGAAGGTTATTGATGAGTTGATTCATGTGGCTATTTTCATCTGGAATGGGTGGCACAACGTGTGGAATTTCCTGGGCTTCAAGAGCACTTACTGGTCTCACATGTTCTGGAGCTGCCCTGACAAGGGTGCCGCGGTGCAGACAAAACACTGATGATCTGCCGTCTTGCTGAACAACCTTGGCTGGGCCATTCCAACCCTTTGAGGTTTCTCCTGCTCTCCAATACATTATCCATTCCCCTGGGTTGTAGAATCCCCTGCTTGGTCTTTCACGTCTCAAGGCTGCTCGGCGAAGAGCTGCTTTATTGTCAGCTTCATGAAATGCCTTTCTGGCACTTTCTCGCATGGCAAGTTGTGTTCGGAATTTGATGCCCCAGGCTGTCTCTTCATTTGCAAGGCTATGAGCTGGTAGGGTGTCATCACTGGTGAGTGACCCTGGAACCTTCAACCCTTTTCCAAACACAAGCACCTCCGGTGCAAAACCATGACGCAGGCTGCAGGCATTCTTGGCGGCAGTGCAAACCATGAGAGCCCTTTGCAGGTCACTGTAGTTTTCAATTGGGAAATCTTCCTGATACTTGTTGAGCATGTGTTGCAAAACATCTCCATGACGTTCCGTCTTCCCCAATTGCCAGTGGGCCTGTGGTGGGATAATGGTCAACTTTGTATTGAATTGTCGCAGGAACTGGTCAAACTCAGAATTGTTGAATTCGGTGGCAGAATCGGCAATTACCTCATTTGGGGGCCCTGCCCATGACAGCCACCCGGCGGTTAGCTTCTCCATGGCCCATTCCGTGGTTCTGTTGGGAGCAATTGTGGCTGTATGGTAGTTGGTTCCGTGATCGATATAGTGATAGAAGTGGAATCTGTTGTTACTTTTATTGTGCCAGGTTATGCCATCAACTGAAATCTTATCCCCAAAGTCTAGTTCTGATTTCAAAGTAGCAGGTCTTTGGATTTTTGGTGCTTGTTGTTGGATACACGTTGAGCACTTCATATCTTCCAGTCCTTTGATCAAGTGACTTGGATACCCTTGTTGACGAAGCACTTGTGCAAGTACTTGGGGTGATGGGTGTCCAAGGTTCTTGTGCAAACGGAGCAGAGTCTGTCTTTCATATCCGGTCAGTGCCTTGAACTTGGGACCTTGATTAGAACTTTCACAGTCAATCTGTAGATTGCGAGAAAACAAATCTTGGTCGAGTGACTCTGTTTTGGGCTTGCTTATGGATGATTCCGTTTGGCTGTCTTGTGCAGTCGCTTCTGGCACAGGAGTCTGATGCATTGGTCCTTCCGGGACATTGGATTGAGACTCCTGCTTTGGTTGAATTTCGGCTGAGCTCGGTGACGTTTCTGAATGATTGCGGCCAAACACTGTTATATTCACTGCACATGGGAGCAAGCCTCGAATCAGCTGTCTTTGGGAAAGTGTTTCCCATTCCTCCCACACATTTTCAATCCATACCCTTTTGGTACCCCGTTCAAGTGCTATGGTTCTTCTGTAGGGGGCTTCTCCATGCATCATGTTCTTGGGAGGTGCCAGCATACGCTCTGTTCCCTTGCAGGCAATGACACGGACCACTTTCTTTTCTCCAAACACGTCTTGGATGCTTTGGATGATTTCAGGTTCCAAAATCTCTTTGCGACCTACTCTGGGAAGATTACTATGAGTCCTATCACACAGCTCATGTAAGTTATCCCTTTGAGTCATATGAGATTCTTTTGGTTCAACATCACCCTTACGTCTCCTTTTGTTGGTGTCTATTGGTGGTCCTGGTCTCTTGGCAGTGCTTGTCCGGATACGCTTTGCTGAAGACTCTTTTGTCTCAGCACGGTCGGATGACCGTCGTTTCACCGCTGCTGCAAACACCTCGTTCCATTGGGAAAACCCTTTTGGCTCTGAGCGTATATTGGCAAAACTGGTCAACATTTTGGCAAGACTGCGAGCAAACTTTCTTGGATAGAGTTCGGAAAACTCTGTACGGTTCTTTCTGATTCCATGGTGAACGGTCGATCCTTCCAGCACCTGGTGTTCGTGATCATGCCGGCAGTACCTACCGTGCAGCTGGCTGTACACGACATATGATGTTGTGCGGATCTCCAGACCCTTTTGGATGAACCTGTGGTTCTCAGGGTCTTTGAGTGATCCTACATTGCACATGTCGAACTTGGCACTGTATGTATACTCATAGATTTCTCTTAACAGCGGTGTCATGAACATGAGGGACCTGCGTGGTTGTTCCCAGTGGAAGTGTCTTTTCTGGGAATACTGGTACCTGAACAAAACGACACCAAGAGCAATCTGATACAAGTGCTGTAGCCGCTGTCGATGGATGGAGTCAAAACTGGACATGGATTTGGCTGCATTGAGATTGTTCCAAGATGACCATGGTCCACATGTTGGGCTGAACCATAAATTTTGAGGTTGTCTCTGGACGATTGTTTGGAACAACTTCCCTCTGCCTTCAACAGTGGACAAATCTCCTTGTTGGAAACTAAAACGCTCAGCTCGATATCCCAAATTGGTGGCTTGGCGGGTGAGCTCACTTTGTGGACTACAGAACACCTCTAGAACATGCAGCTTGGACCCCTGTGACATCTCGGTGTGCTTGAATGCATTCTGAAACTCTTTGGACAGCTGTTGAACCAATTCTTGAAATTGCTTCTGGTATTGAGAGACTTGTGTGACATTGCAACAGACATCATCGCTGTCCAAGTCTCCTGCATTCCGTAGTCCTATGGCCCACATTGAATCACTCATTGTTGATTCCTCAGCAGACCGAGAATCTCGCTCACAGCTCCCTCCAGGTGATTCATGCGCGTCTGCAGGGCAATGATGTTCTCGGACTCCATGGCATTCAGGGAGTATGTCGGCGGGTTCGGCATCTCTAGCCAGGCATCCTCCTCGTCGGAGATCTCCGCCACCATCTGGGTTGGCTGGCTCTTTGGCTTTGGCTTGGGTCGCGTGACTGGCATCTGTGAAGGCTCTGTTGTCGCCTCCATTTCGGATCTCTCGATCATGAGAGACACGAAGTGCAGCAGTTTCTGGTGGTCGATCTTCTGTGATGTCTCGTACGTGCGCACAAACCATTGGAGCCACTTGGCTTCCTGATTCCAGATCTCGGCATATGGACGGCCCAAATGTGCCTTTCCGAAGGTGATGGGTGACGATCCCATCTCTTCCAGTGATAGCTTCTTGAACTTCTCCAGCTCCTCGGGGTCTCCCTTGGAGCAGCTGAGACGGCACAGGCGCTCGGACAGGCTCATGTTGGCAGTGCGGTGCTGATGGTGATCGATCGACTGGTTTCTCGGACCCAGGCTGTGAAACATGGACATCACTGGCTTCTTCCTGAGGCATCACAATTTTCGTTACTACATGTTTCTCAACGGTGTTATTATGATCATGTACTTTATGAACATTCATGTTGACATCATTGGCATGATTGTCGGAAGGTGATACTTGTATTGACGGTTGCGGTGACCAACTTGTGTGTGGTTGAAATTGTGTCTTCTTGTTTGATTGTTCCATCATGGCTGGGTTCTCGGGCTTGGCATGTGAACTCAAACTGGCAGGGCTCGCCCCTGTTTCCTGGACTGACTTCGCATCCAGTGTCTCGTGCATAAAGGTCTCGGCTGAGGGCCCTGTTGTTCTTGATGACAAAGCAAGTTCATTTATATCGACCAGAAAAAGGCCTCTTCCATTCAGATTGAGATTCACTGGTTTCTGCAGAAATGGGCTGATCAGGACCTTTTGGGAAACATCTACTTGCGCCTTCAAGGTTCGGAGCAATGAATTGGAAAGCAACAAAGGAGTACCCCCTGGTACTACAGCAATCTTAAGACCCACTTGACCTAAGGGAATCACAATTGCATGCTGACTATCCAAAGTCCCCTCATTACCGAACCGGAAGGTGATTTGGCATTTGCATCTGTACGTGCGTTTCCGGATCTCTGGATGCAGTTGCTGTAACAGTTCAGGCACCTGATTGCTGCCCATGACCGTTTTGGTCGCTCCAGTATCTAGGATACCATGCGTTCCATGTGAAGCGAACAGAATTTGCTCGTCATTTGCGAGCTTTTCGGCAAAATGCACGGCTGTGGATGGCTCATTTCGGCTCGGCTGTTGTCTCAGGAGACCGGTTTCACTCCTGAGCGGATGCTGTTGAGCAGGTGAAATTATTCCCCAATTAAATTTATCCCGCCTTTTAGCAAGATAATACCCCAGATTAGGATGTTTACAACCCCTTTGGCTTTCCCCGTTACAAACATTAACATGGACTGTCTGCGGGCTGGCTTCATCGATCGGCTGATCGTGGATTTCAGGCAACATCATGAACTCCAAAGGTAAGGTTTCGTTGGTAGGAAGTGGCTCTGGCATGGTAGACACCGTCATGGTTGGTGCTTGGCTTGAGGAAGACTGTCCGGCTGTGTTCCGAGGCCTGTCTGGACATTCTGATTTCCAGTGACTCCTCCTGCCGCAGTTGCGGCAGTTGGATTCTAAAATCCGTTGTTGCAGGCTCTTGCGGCTTCCTTTCATGCTGTCTTTTCCTTTTCCTTTGAAACCCTTTGACTTGCCCTTGGAAGAAACATTGCTAGGCCAGAATCCCCTGTTCTTGAACCGATCGCTCAACCTTTTTCTCGCATTGGTGTAGGCATTGTAGGCCTGAGCTAATCCCTCATCTTCTTGAATGGTGTCTTGCATGGCTGACTCATACTCACAAACCAGGATAGCATCCTCATCACCCTCGGCAGCTAACTGATCTACGAAGTCCTCTTCGAAGCTTTCTTCGGCTACCAAGACCTGTTCTGTTTCTGCTACATCCTCGGCTATGAAAGCTTGATTGTCATAGATCTTCCCTTTGACCTTTTTGGCACCTGTGACATCATGAAAAAACCCTGATCCAAGCATTCTCACAGCAGCGTTCACTTTGGATATTTCGAGCACTCCCTTGGTGGTGGCTTCTGATTCCAAAATCACACGTTTTTTGTCCTCTGCTGACAGTTGCGATCCTCTGAGAACTGCATATGCTTGCAACTCCTGCAAGGACACTTTGCTTGTCAAGAGTTCTGTCCACAGGACGTCGGCTCGAGCAAGGTAGCTATCATTGCTTTCATCATTTCTCTGCTGACAACGATAGATGGCTTTTTCAAACGTTTCATACTTCTTCTCCAGTGATATTTTGCCCCATTGACCTCCAAGGATGGTCACAAGGCGTTCAACACCTTTCTGATCTCCAGTCATCATTTCACTTCGTTGAAGCTGTAGTTTCTGAAACGCAGCTCCACTTGTTCCGAGTATGAGACGTGTGATAAGTTCATTCATCTTCGTTGCAGGCCAAATACTTGAAAGCAGTTCTACCTTCTGAGTATATTGTTCCAAGTCATGTTGAGCAGCATCAAACTGTGGTACCAGGTTTGTCAACTGTGTAGGCACCTGTGTTTCGGTGCCGCCAGAAGCTTCCGACATGATTGTCGGTCAAACCAAACTTTTCCCTCAGCTTGACCTAGGTCTTTCCAGTTCTATACGGTACCCCCTGGTTAGGAGGCTCCCGCTACCAATGTGATTGGTTCACAACCAGTAGCCCAAGTGCTAAGGATCCACACCCAATTGCAAATGGAAGGCGGCCACACCTTTTCACCACTCAGCTTCTGCTCAAGTTCGAATCCAAGCTCCCAAGCTGCAAGCGAAATGCCGGCCACGGCAATGACTATGGCTCAAGAGGTTTTACACCTCCCACAATCCACCCTTTGCTGTCCCCAGCAATCACGTCTGCGGAAAAATGAACATGGGTTCACATGAGTGCATCAGGTTGCAATTGATTGGACATCAAGGGAGAAAAGTATTGGAAATTCACAATATATATATATATATATGCACATGCTAAATATATATAGTATATATTATATTGTATTGTATTATATTATATTATATTATATTCTATTATATTATATTGTATTATATTATATTATATTATATTATTGTATATTGTATTATATTGTGTTATATTATATTATATGATAGTTTATTCAATTTATTTTATTATATTATTTTACATATTATATTATATTATAGTATATTATCTATTTTATTATATTATACATTATATTATATTGTATTATATTATATTGTATTATATTAAATTATATAATATAATATGATATAATATAATATAATATAATATAATATTATAATATATATATATATGCAACCTATACGTATGCGCATAATTTGTATGTGCAATAAAAATAGATCTATGTGAAACAATCACGATGCCATTCTGAATCATCCTTGCAGGGTGCCCATTAAAACATCAGACATACCCCCCCGGGATGCTCGCTCCGCGCTGAGTAGGCCCGCAAAAGCACCGCGTACAGGGTTGACGCAGCATCTAGCCAGGGCAGTCATGTCTGGAGAAACCCGTGTGGGTTTCATTTCAAGTATGGGAAACAACCACATTATAACCCACTTATACCCAGTTCTATGTGTATCCCATGGTTTTTGGGTTCAACGCGGAACCCAAAAATTAGGATCTCATGGATCGTCCATAGCCTGGCTCGATGGGTAAAGGATCTCCTTCTTGCACAGGATGTGCATATTCATCGGCCTGGACCGCGGTGCGGTTTTCCACTTGGCGGGCTTGGCGGGGAAAATGCTTTGGGAACTGGCTCTTGGATCCGAATCCACGTTGGGGTTCCAAGAACAAATGGATGTTGGAAGATTCACGAGCCGTCTACCACACGGTAAGGAGAAGAGCTCTCCGTGCAGTCAACATATTTACGGAATAATGTGACATCATATCCAAAAATCACATCATTCATGTTCAACTCATCAACATTGATCAACCAATTGGCTCCTAGAAGCCAAATATTTTGGATGCTTTTGTGACATACGTTAGCAAAACACTGCAAGGAACCGACAGCACCTTGGTGATACATTCAGCGAAGTAGAGCCCGAAACCGTAGAGGGGAAGGCCCTTTGGCTTTCCCGTCTCCTGAAACGGGTCTAGGACAAAAACCTAATATGATCCTAGGAGAAAAAACCTCGAACTCATAGATCTCTGGTGCTTGCAGTCGATCATGTTTGGATGCTGAAAGCCACAGTGTTTCATCTGTTTCATGCTTCAACCCCCATTTCTACTAGTTGAATCCCCACTTAGATGGGCCATGGAGTTAGTTAACTAGTTAGTAAATGGATCAACAAATTGGGATTGTTTGGGGGTAACAAATCCCCAGTTACTAACCAGGAATCGCGAAGCTTTCCCATGGCCCATCTAAGCCACCAATCTCTGTTGAAATCGCTAAGGAAATCTCCTTCCAAGTGGCGCCGGAGCCTGCAAGCGTCAAACCTCGATGTTGAAAAACATGCCATCCCCGGCACGGTGCTTCATTGCCAGGTGTGTAACGGTGTGTAACTACCAGCAGATGATGCTTTCATAGTTTTGGATTTATCATGATTTATATATATACATATAATAAATATATATATATATATAGTCATCCCGCAAAAAGTAGAAACCACAAAAAAAACAATAACATAAGTGACACATTACTCTTTCCTATCTTCTTGGGGGTCACTATATCCATATCAATTCACTGGAAGGTGGTTCATCTTCTGGAATCTGATTACAATGGTAGCAAAGAATGAAAAACATATCAGCTGTAGATTCCTCTAAGGGTGGAATTGAAAAAAGGAAAAACAACACAACAATAGACATGATGGCAAAGCAAAGAATGTCATGTACCCTCTGGTAATTTAACGAAGCTATTGAAAATGGCCATTAATAGTGGATTTTCCCATTAAAAGTGGTGATGTTCCATAGTTATGCTAGTTTACCAGAGGGTAACTGGTATAACAAACCATGTTAGCATCCCAAGCAACACAAACCCTGCAATGAGTTGGGGCTTGTTCTTAGTCTCAATCCTTATCACGCCATGCTATCTCCGTGGCATAGCTGCTACCAACATATTCCAAATGCCCCAAGCATCACAGTTGGCCCAGCAGTAAATTAACATACTACTAAATACTACCCTACTCTACTTTACTCTACTCTACTATACTATACTAAGCGTGGTAATATCATTGTAAATCAAACGGCGTTCCATATCTACACACACCCACAATCCAAAAAGATTCAGCTCGGTATAGCTCGGTCCAAAAATCATCAAAAATCTGGGCCCAAGCGGAAGTTGGACTCCAAGATTTTGGACAGGGCTTCTGGCCTGGATCCTTGGTGACCATGGCCATGTGACACCATGTGACACCATGCGCCACCCTGGCAGCCTTGGGGATGGGGTCCTTGGGCCGAATGGGATTTAATGGATGTACTTAAATATGTTTGGTCGGATTTAATGGTACTTCATGATGTTTATGGGATTTAGTGGAGTTAGGAATCCAATTAAGGATCACTGCATGTCAGAAACGGCGTTGTTTTGAACCGCATGTTTTGAACATGTTTGAACGACATTTAGCATTCAGGTACATAGTTCACTAAACTTAATAAGTACCCTGGATCGGAGGGGTTTAGATCGGAAACAAATCTCTAACCAACAGTAAGATGATAAAAACGAACAAAACCGAAGGAAAATGATATAATATGAAAAAAATTGAAAAAATGAAAAAAAACAAAGAAAATTGATTTTTATTGTCTAAAACCATATGCACATGGCCATCGTCATAATCCACCAAACGTGTTATTTCTGGTGATTTTTGAGTTCATTAATCACATCTTTATACTTTTCGGTGTTGTGTGCATTTCTGGTAGGTAACCTTAATAAATAATCTAAAATGTCTCTGTTTATACTTCCATCTTTTCCACCCGTTCCTGATATATAAATAAAGTGTCTTGCCTGTCTTATATAATCCCGATGGGTTTCTGTATGCATTTGTCAATCCGTGTCTGTCTTCTGTTGCTTTTGTGTTGGCTATGTTCCTTTCTTCTTTATACAGTGTTGTATTTTGTCTGAATTGCTCATTAAGATTTCTTGCAAAGTTGTTCATCTTCTCATCTAAGTCTCTTTGTTTCTTGTCCGTGTCGTTCATCAACTCTTCTCTTCCTTGACGCATTAATTCATCAAATGCTACTCTACCTATTCTTTTTGCGAATAATCTCATCTCTTCTCTTGTTAATACAGTTTCTATTGCTTCAACTTCCCATAATTCTCTGAACAACCTCTCTCCCAAACTGCCTTCTTTTTTTTTTTTGCGGCGACAATCCTCCATCCCGGTTCTGTGGCGCGGGAGCGGGTGAAACGGGTGAGACAGCTAGCGCAGCGGCAAGCGGCTGAGGGCTGGAGGGTCAGCCCAGTCCAGCACGGCTGCCAAAGTGGGCGCGGTGCCGGTGGTTTGAGCCGGAGCCAGCCACACCCCGCCCAGCAACGTGCTGGCTGTTGCACGCTGGAGCGCGCAGGCGAGGACCGCCCACCAGCGGCGGCGCCAGCCAGAGATGGCGGCTGCCCGGATGGCCGCTGGTTCGCGCTGGGCTCGCACAGCGAGGAGGGTGCGCACGAGATCGTGGCACTCCTGGTCCCAGCGGCCGCCGAGTTCGGCGCCGAGCACGAGGAAGCGGTGGCCTCCGGCGCGGAGCAGCTCTGGGTACCGACGGTGCTTGCGGGCTCGTGCCAGCTGCAATGCGGTCCCGTCGTGGGTTGCCGCGCGGGGGAGAGGTCGCCCTGTGCTGGTGAGGGGCGAGACGACTGTCACGTCGCAGCATAGGGCCACGCCCAAGGCGGTGGCCCCGTGGACCACGAGATCGAGCCGGCGCCGGTCCTCGGGAGGAACGCCTGGCGCCGTGGTTCTGTTGAGCCATTGTTGGGGGACCACGCGGCCCTCTGGCCCAACTGCTTCACGGCAAATTTTGATCCAAGCCTGCTCCATGAGGTGTCCGCGGCGAGCTAGAGCGCCGGTTCGAGGGCAGGCGGCCAGGTGGTCGCCCAACGGGTCGACGAGGCGGCCACAGCCGTGAGTATTTGGCACTTGTCCACACCTGGCTGTTGTGAGCGGCAGGGGGAGCCGGAGGCGGCGCCGGAGGGCGATGGCCATGAGGTGGGGTGCCAGTGTGGTAGCTGGCTCCGTCGGGATGGCGGTGAGCCAAGCCCCGGCAGCCGGGCCGGATTGGGAGCGAACCAAAGCACGAGTCGCCGGTGTCATGGGCGGGAACACCTCTTGCTCTCGGAAGGATGTAGTGACAGCGAGAGCTGCGGGGTGTTGCCAGCCGTGGCGCCATAGGCTCGGCTCGGATTCTTGTAGCGGTGGCGAGGGGACAGGGTGGGCCGCTAGGAGTTGGGCCCAAGCTGGCCTGGTGGCCCAGCCGGCTGCATCGAGGCGGGCGGCAGCCGCGACGAGTTCTCGGATGCATGGCGCATGCGGGTCGCCCTCTTGGAGCAGCTCCCGGCCGCAGGCGGCGACGATGTCCGGGACGCGGGGACGCGGGGGCGCAGGGTGCCCAGCGCGTCTGTCCATCCGGCCCAATACGCAGCGGGGGATAAAAGCTCCGCGCTGGTAAGGCCGAGGCCACCAAGTCTGCCAGGCAGGAACGCCAAGCGGCGTGCTTCTGCCAAATGGGGGCATGGCCGTTGTTCCCCAAGCAGGGCCAGAAGGGTGTCCCAGATGGCCGCGTCATGCCCCGTGGAGTATTCGAAGCACTGGGAGGGGGGGACAGTACGGAGGATGTGTTGTGCGCGTGGTGCGGCGCAGAACAGGAGGAGGAGCCAGGCCGCTTGCAAGTCGGGGAGGCGCGGGAGCTCCTCGAGGAGCTCGGCTTCCGCGGCCAGACGGGCTTGCAAGTGGCAGGCGATGAACGCCGGGTGGCCGATCGGCACCCCCAACGCGACAAACCCACGCTGCGCGGGAGGCTGGTTTCCCACCCACACGTCAGGCCCCAGTTGATCTATGCCTGGGGGGGGTGGCCCCGGGTCCTGGTGATAAACACGGGTTTTGCCAACGTTGGATGCGATGCCCGCGTGGCCTTCAATGGCGCGGGAGACGACATCGTATGCATGCCGGGCGTGGTCCCTGGTGGTAAGCACGCAGATGTCATCTAAGTAAGCATAAAGACGGTCGCCGGCCGGCAAGGTACGGGAGGCATGGACCAGAGCTTCATGCTGGGCCAACGCAAACAGTGCAGGAGCGAGCGAATCGCCCTGCTCGAGGCCTTCTCCTTGCACTATGTCATGCACGGTCCCCTGGTTGTCAAACCAGGAGTAGGAGGATTGTGCCCCATAGAATGCTTTGACGTAAGGCAGGAGCGCCGGGGTACATTCGTGGACTTTGGCCAAAACGGCTGCGCGGGAGACGGTGTCATATGCGCTGCGGCCGTCCAGGCACACGACCGTGGCAGCCGGGTTGGCATCGGTGCAGTATCGGAGTATGGTGGCCAGCGCGTCGGTGCCGGCGCGGGTTTGGAGGGCGAACTGGAAAGGCCGGGTGGCCAGGTCGAACTGGGTGGCAAAGTGGCGCGCCAGGACTCTGGAGGTCAGCCGGCGGAAGGCTTCTCCAGTAGCGATCCCGCGGATACCACCCCCAGGTTTTGTGAGGGCAGTTAGCCGCGCCCGGGCGAGGGCTTCGAGGACAGGCGCGGGCACATCGGCGTTCGCCAATTTATTGACCATTGCTGTGAGGTGGGCGATCGCTTCCTCGTCCTCGAGGAGGACTTTGTAGTGATCCATGGTGCTGCCGGAAAGCCCAGGCGCGGCGCCACGCTTCGCAGTGCGCAGCGCGTCGCCAATCTCTGCCGGGGTGAGGCGGAGAGGCGTGGCTGGCAGCGGTCGTGTCAAGTGGTCCGGGATTGGTCGTCGGAGTTGAGGGGGGGCGGCGATCGGGATCCCTAAGGGCGGCCAACGTGGCGGGAGTGCCCGGCGCCAACGCTGGGTTGGTGAGAGTATGCCTGGCGCGGGATAGGTTGCCTTGGCGCACTTGCGCACAGGCTTGGGCATGACGGCGGGTTTGTGGGTTGACAGGAGCCGGGGACGCCGGCCGGGGGGCAGCCGGAGGGATGGCGCCGTAAAGATTTTCCCATGCACCCGCTTGGAAGTGGGCGGCACGTTGCAGAAGCGCCGCCCGACCCTCCGCGCCACGGTCCGGGCTGCGGTGGAGCAGTAGCCGGGGGATGAGCAGGAACAAGGTCCAGGCACGCTGTTGTTGGAGCTGCGTGGCCCGGCTTTGGGTAAGGATGCGCATGGGCACCAGGAAGGCGCGGCTGAGGTGGGCGCGCAGGAAAGCTGGAGGGGAACGTGTGACAGCGCACGGCCTCCGCAGTTCTGCGGCGAGGTCAAGGGAGTCCAGCCATGCCCACGCTCGTGCGGGGATGGCGCTAGCAGCCGCGGGCGGGGGCGTGTGCTCTGGCCTGTCGAGTTGGCTCCTGTCGTCGGATATGGTGCTGGGGGTAGGGCTGGGGGGGCCTTCGCCGGTGAAGGCGCGCTCCTCATCGGAGTCGGGCACGGGCACTACGGCGCCAGTGGAAGGCGCCGCGGGAGCTCGGCGCGGGTGCGCCAGTGGCGGGGCAGCGACGGGGGCCAGAGGGGGGACCCGGAAGCGGTTGGAGTGTTGGTCGAGCGCTGCCGCCA